GGTGTTTTCGTTGTCCAGCAGAACTCGTAGTGGTTTTGTTGCCAAATTTTTTCTACGTCCATTGAGACGCAGGCATATACGTGCTCGGACCAACGCATGATCGCTGTCCAAACACGTACTCCAGAAGGAGCGGCAGTCTTCCACCGATCCTCTCCAGCGATGACTAATAGCAATGTGGTCTATCTGTGTCCATCGCTGAGTCGAGCTCGGTGGACGCCAGGTCAGACAGTGCCTTTCTTTATGTCTGAAATTTGTGCTGGCTAAAAATAGGCGGTTATCTGAGCATAGTTGTAATAGGCGATCACCGTTATCTGTACGTTCAGCTGGGATTCCGAAAGTGCCACCTAAGTGCCTTTCTGCCTCACTCAGTCTACCCACCTGTGCGTTGAGGTCACCTGCAACAACCACTACGTCCGAACGTTTGGCTTTCGAGAGGAGGTTAGACAGTTTATGGTAGAACTCGTCCTTCACTTCATCCGAGCTAGTCAGTGGGTGCGTAAGCAGAGATTACAAAGAGACAACGGCGAGTCTCACTATTCCTTTTAGTTCTCACTGTGCCGTTCAGCCTCATAGCGCAGAGGCGACTATCAACTGGGATCCAGTCTAGTAGTGAGTTTTCTGCCCTGGTGCTTAATGCTATACCTACACCTGCAAGACCACGAGAGCTAGCTATCGAATCTCCAGAAACTCGAAGGGTGAATTTTGCGATTCACCAGATTGGTCAGGTGAATAACCACACTTGGGTCCTGTATGCGTGTCTCACAAACACAGCACACATCCATGCCCGAGTTGCTAGAGTCTTTGCAACGAAGCCTGTTGGCCAATTTGACGGAGGTGCGGACATTGAAGGCTCCAATATGTAATTTGGAGCGTGATTTAAGGAGACCAGGATGCTGTTCTGTGACTCAGATCGTTGTAAAAAGCTGAAGAACTAGGAGAAATCAAAGATGATGATGTCAGCACTCAATCGACAGCTAACAGTTTAATAATAATTTGAGTTGAGTCATGGATGCACGTTGAGATCCCCCAAAGAATAGAGCAGAATATGAAAGTCTAGGACACAGGGGATGGTATAAAAAACAATTGGTTATCCAGATTTATAACTGATCACATTACTCATGAAATGTATTCTTTCTTGTGGAGTAGTAAACTGTAAAATCTGTTATTGAAATCTGTTCAGTTGCCTGCTGTCTAACAGAATACATACACATCGACATTCATGTAACTGTCTCAAAATGGAATTCTACCATTCCGTCTAACAAAGTGTAAAATACGCTAAACAAAGCATTGGATAAGTTGGTTTCAGAGATAAATTTCCATTCACATTCAATACTATAGCAATACATACACCTCAGTTATGGAATAGCCCCACCAAACTCGGGACCTTTAGGTTGCACAGAGAACGCGTTAAGCATTCAGCCATTGGATTAGAGTACTATAACAGTAATGTACTCTGAAGTTTATGGGTAGTGTATTTTTAAGGTAGTATTCATCATGGATTTATATCAGATGAGGAAATATTCGAAACCCTGGGAGCACTAAACAACTGTTTAGTACTGCGTACAACTGTGGATCCTCATACTAGCACGATATTTGTCCAACTAATATCAGTTCGTGACACATATTATCTTGCTTTATAAATCACCTCATTTTCGAGAACATAAAGCTGGTTTTGTGGAAATTTATGTATATATATAGGACAAAACGCGCCTCCTGGATTCCTCTGTTAGCTACAACTAAACATATTTATTTCAGTCGTAGAAAAACTATATATATATATATATATATATATATATATATATATATATATATATATATATATATATATATATATAGTTTTTCTACGACTGAAATAAATATGTTTAGTTGTAGCTAACAGAGGAATCCAGGAGGCGCGTTTTGTCCTATTTGGGACTCACTCGTAGGCGGATGTACCTGCACCCCAGTAAGGAGTAATGTTGTTCCCACCGGGACTCGAACCTCGTACCCACCGCTTCAAACGCAAGGCGTTATCCATCATGTCACAGGGGAACGATAGCCACTTCTTGTACAACGGGTAGTAGTTATTACTATATATTGATATACTTACCATAAAGTTGAACAATTCGATTCAATAAAACAACTGAGAATTACAAGTATATCAATAAATAGTGATAACTACTACCCGTTGTACAAGAAGTGGCTACCCTTCCCCGTGGCATAACGGATAACACCTCGGCGTTTGAAGCGATGGGTAGGAGGTTCAAGTCTCAATGGGAACAACATCACTCACACCCCCCCTCAGGGGTCGAACTCAGGACCTTCATGTTCCGCGGTCATCATAATAACGTTAAATCAGTGAGTTTGGATTCAGTGGTTCACATTTCCCACTTCTGTCAGTTCGCGATATAGCGCCACCTTTATCCAGTACCGTCGTTCAATGCCTGTCCTAACGTTCGACTTGGTTTTTCTTACCCGTCAAAAGTTTGTAATGAATACCAACCTAAAGTCAATACATAAATCCTGTGTTAGCTGAAGACGCTGAATAGATTTAGAGTCTTCTCGACGCCTTGGGTGACAATCTAAAGATGTTTGAGATGCGTTTCTCCTCACCCAAGTGCGCGTTTTTGCCCCAGGACTGGTATTCAGCCGTGCCTCGGCTAACAATAGAGAGTGAAGTGGTTGAGTAAACTGATCACTTCATGTAACTGGGAAGTGGCATCAGCCATGATGGGTCATTGGTCGATAAAATCTCTGCATGGATGCAAAACCTGGCTCGGTACCATCTGTGGCATCACTGCGATATTTGATTGTCGATTAAGGGTCGAGTGTAATGTACTGTAGTCCACTCTGTTCTAGTTTATTGCTGTAAAACATGGCCATTAAAGGTAGGAGACATAAGAAGGTGTTTGGCCACCATTGCCTTCGTAGCATAGACTGTGTTTCGTGATGTCATCACATGTGTAACGCAGACATCAGGCGTAGAGTCTTAGGAAGGAAAGGTAAGACAGTTGATGTAGTCGTGAACCTTCATCTACTAAGATGGCTGGGACATGTGTTACGTAACCCTAGCCACCATCTGCCTCATCGCACAGTGTTTGCTGAAATACGTTCAGGGTAGAAGAAGGCTCGGGCTGCCAGACCAAAACATTATATCAATATAAGAAGTCCTTGACTGTTCGTTTGAGCCACGTAGGGATATTCAGACTAGCCGGGTGGGGTCCGTGGGACAAGAACAACCAGTGGTTAGAGACTCTAAGTGAAGTGGCTGAGAACCGATTACAGTGAAGTAGATGTATACACACATTGTCTTCGTCGTAAGCGGTATAATTAATGTTATCAGTTCCTCACTCCTTCTCTTTTACTGCTTTTTACTTCTTCTGACCGATTTTTCTTTCCTTCCTCACTTTCCACTTTATTGCCTTGTTACTTGTTGTGCTGATGTGAGATGTGGAAACCTAAATCGTAACGCAGTGATGCCTAGTCCTATGTTGACCTTATTGATGGTAATTACAAACCTCCAGATTCTATTACTGTCTAGTGATTACTAATGACTTCTTCGTAATGACATTCTTGAAGTTCTAATGAGAAATCTTGACCGTTAGGGTAAACCAAGTCGGACGTGAGGATAGGTATTCAACAATAGCATTAGATGAAGATTGTGCGATATCACGAATCCACGGTAGTAGCAAAATGTGCACCGTTGAATTGTGACCCAGTGACTCACTGGTAAAGTGGTTACCGCAAAACGGGAAGGTTCAGGGTTTGATTTCTGCACGCAGCTGAGGACTCCTATACTAAGAAGAAGCAAAAGTCGAGTTCTCCTGGGCTTTTAAAGATTCTCCACATGATGTGTACCTGTGATGAATACCAATTGTACATATTTATAAACGACTCAGATTAATAGTGCATAAACTTTGATTTCTTTCTTTTATTTATTACAACCTTACATTTTATGGATAAGTGCGTAAACTGTAGTATCTCGAAATGTTTTAAGCAATGACGTAAATAAGAATAATGAGTTGGTAAGATGAAGATCACTAGTTCGAATCCAGCTTTTTCACATGTTTGCTTCACCTTTGGTCATCATCCTGTTACATATATTTCATTCATTCAACTCAAAGTTATATCAGATAGTTTAATCAAGAATACTTTCAAATAACTGTTTCCCTTCACAAATTTAAACAGAGAAAGAACAACAACATTAGTAGAATAGCAATGGATCTATTTTAAAAAAATTTATTTCGTAGTTTCTCATCACCCGCTTACAACCTGAAACAATGGTTAACATCAATTTGCACTAAATGTTTGCATACTTGAATCAGTTTGTTAAGAAAATTTCGACTTGAACTAAAGAATAACATCAATAAGAAGCTGGTGAGAAATCACGAAAAAATGAAACATTTTTATGCCATTCAGCTAAAGCTGTTGTTCTCGTTTAAAAAGTTGCTTTGATGGTTAGTCTCAGCTGTTTTCCTTTTATGTCCTGCATTTTTTTGTATATTAAATATACACCAGAAATATCGTTATGGGAATCGGTTCAAAATGAGATGTACCATCTAAATTTCACGAATTTGCCTGTACACAGTTTTGGATAAATCTTGGGAGATCATATTTGTCTTGGAGTGTGAAGCAAATATCACTAGTTGTCATTTTAGTTGATCGGTTATGACTGTGTACTTTCACCATAAGTTGTTTCAGAAAATTATAATGTACAATTAGGGCTGCCTTCCTCAAATTCACTCACTTGAAACAGTGTTAGATAAAATCGTTCACATGTGAAATCCATTATAATGCAGAAGAATAAAACTAGTATAATGAAGATTTCCGTTTACGCTCAATTAACAATAATCACTAAGCTTAGCCCTAACATTGATTTATTAGTCAATGATGAAATGATTTCTTTCATCGATTTGCATAATCAGTGATAATTCTTGTTGACTTGTTTCCCATTGTAATAAAATGCTGAAGTGGAACTTTTTCTTCGTTTTTTTCTTTTTTTGTCTTCTTGTTCATTAAAGTATTGCTCGTCAGTCTGTTGATGGTTCCAGTACTCAATTCTACTAATTCTTACTGATGGTATTATATCAGATTTACCACAAACAAAAGCTGCTATCGTAAATGTAAGTCTATGTATTCTTTGTTCGAATAAGTGGATAATAATGGCAAACACTTTCTGATTGACAGTTGAATAGGTCTTACTTCTTCTAATTTCATGCTTTAATTCACTTGAATTGAATGAATTCTATCAGATTGATTTAAGTTGAAAACTTGGATACTGTGGTAGAATGTGATTCCATATTAGATTCCTTTATTTGACATATATAGCGCACAGTGATACAGTATTATTTACTTCATGACGTTTCGAGCAGAAATTATCATTGCTCATAATCATATCATTGGAACCACACACCTTTCGATGTCTGTTTGTTTCTCAATCCTGTCACCTCATACTCTTTGTTTTTATTGCTAGTAAAATTCTCCATATCTTTGATATAGGTGTTGTGTTATTTGTATCACATGTGTTGGTTGGGTGTAGATTCGATGAACAAAGATTCAGTAATCAGTCTCTCTCTCCACCTTAAGTACAGTGGTTTTATCCCACCTTATTGTGTGGTTAATGCATGCATTGCAATAGCGGAGGTTTTTCTAGATTAATGATTTTATTGGAGTCTGTCATTCTATATTTAGCTAAATTCCTATATTCTGTTAATCTAACTGACCCTGACTGGCTAGTTTGACCTAGATATTTGACCTCACGGGCATTCTATGGACGAATCGGATTATCTCAAAAATATTGATGAACATATCCAAACAAGACCATAGGACGAGATCAAGAAACCTAGAGACACCTTCATAAACGAAATTAAGAAATCTGCAACAGATCTTATACTTTGACTCGAGCCACCTCTAGGTGAGTCTAAGCGATTTAATTTAATGCGTAAAACTAATTTACAGTACTTTTAAGGTTCATAAACCAGGTAATCGCATTAGACGCATAGTTGACTTCCAAAATACCCCAACATATGAACTATCAAAGTACTTAGCATCACTGTTATGTCCTATTAGAAACCGTTCAACTTCTTGAAGAGTCAGTTTCTACAAGTGAAAACATAGACTTAATGATCTACATATAGAAGAGGGTGAAAAAATGGTTGGTTTCGACGTAACAAGTTCGAGTACTGAAATATCAATCAACATGGCACTGAAGACAGTTAGAAATCAACTCATTATTGACTCAGAACTTACTCACAGAACTAAGATATTGGTTGATGAGATCGTATTAGGTGTACATTTGTACCTAACCTCCACAGTCTTCAACTTTCAGGACAAAATATACAGACGAACAGAAGGAGTAGCAGTGGGATTGTCAATATCCCCAATCGTAGTACATATATTTATGTATATTTGGAAAGACATGGCTTTACGAACGTTTAATCCTACTCCTGAGTTACGTCGGTCATATGTGAATGACACATTTACTATGCTGAAATCGGAACATATCGACAGTTTCCTCACACATATAAACTCAGTAGTAGGCGAAATTCAATTCACTTACGAGGTAGAAAATGAACAGGGAGAATTACCAATGCTGGATTGCAGAATAAAACAAAGGATAGATGGTCGTCTAGATACTACCGTCTACAGGAAACCGACACATGTAACAGGTATCTAGACTTCCCGTCATCTCATCTAATATCAGTTGAGGCAGGTTTAGTCTAATGTCTAAATCATAGAACTAAAAATCTCACTAGTAATTGTAAGGACTTAAGCAAGGAGTTGAAACACATAAAAGAAACGCTAATAGTTAATAATTATCCTCTACCGTTGATTATGAAGTTTGTACAGACACGTTAGAAAAACGAAATGATAGCAGTGATTCGGATACGAATAATAGCAACAACACAAATAGAAATAAGTTACCATATAAGGAAGAAACATCAGAACTTTACGTAGGATCCTCAACAAAGCTGGGATTAAGGTAGCATTTAAGCCAACAAATTCACTCAGAGATAAGCTTTGTCGGATGGCTTAAGGATCCGATAGAACCAGTTACGCGAAATAATGTAATCTATCGAATTCCATGTAATGACTGTGAGGTCAAATGTCTAGGTCAAACTAGCCAGTCGGGGTCAGTTAGATTAACAGAACATAGGAATTTAGCTAAATATACAATGACAGACTCCAATAAGATCATTAATCTAGAAAAACCTCCGCTATTGCAATGCATGCATTAACCACACAATAAGGTGGGATAAAGCCACTGTACTTAAGGTGGAGAGAGAGACTGATTACTGAATCTTTGTTCATCGAATCTACACCCAACCAACACATGTGATACAAATAACACAACACCTATATCAAAGATATGGAGAATTTTACTAGCAATAAAAACAAAGAGTATGAGGTGACAGGATTGAGAAACAAACAGACATCGAAAGGTGTGTGGTTCCAATGATATGATTATGAGCAATGATAATTTCTGCTCGAAACGTCATGAAGTAAATAATACTGTATCACTGTGCGCTATATATGTCAAGTATGTCCTTTGTAAAAATTTTCTAACTGGTTTTACTGTTTTTCTCCCTCATTGATACAGGTTTGCTATCATCCTTTCTTAATTTTGAAATCACCACTTCTTTTTTATTAGATGATTATCATTTTGACTAGCCGTCGTTTAGCAGACTAGTATTGATACTGAGTGATGACTGAAGGTGATTAAAGGCCACTGGTTCGAATACAGCCGAGGTCTATATTTTAATTGCACCTTCAACCATTACTCAGTGTCATTATATAATTGTTTTTTAACGATACCATCTTGTATGGATTTAAACCATTTCAGTACTGAATCATTCAGCTCTGTGATGATATCTGTTTAGTGTAGGCATATTTGACAAGCGATTTACTAAACTAAATGTATCAGACAGTCAATATCAGATGCTACTTGGTAATACTATGTAACACGTCAAACTAACATATTTCTTACCAACAAATCATGGGGTCACATACTCGGACGAAACACTTGTCCAGTGCTCCCAGGTTTTCAGTTGTTCTTCTACTGATATCAACCCATTATGAACGCTACCCATAATCTTGGAAGTACATTACTGTCACACTACTCATTGGTGAAATGCTTGGAGATGGCTATCCCAAAGTTCTAATGAGAAGCCATGACCTGTGGAGACGACCAGGTGGAAGTGATGATACAAACTGAAGATCTTGGATGATAGTCGCGCTATTTCACAGAATTGACAAAGGTAGGAAACTGTGTAGCATTGAACCCTGACCCACTGGCGGAATGGTTAACGTGTTTACTGCGCAACCTGAAGGTTCCGAGTCCGGTGCCTGTTGGGATCATGTGTTCGTGCTGCTGAGGCGTCTCATATTGAGACGAAACAGCTGTCTAGTGCTTCCAGGTTTTCAATGCCTTCCCCAAGTGATGTCAGTCAGTAATTAGAAGTTATAGCAAGTTACAGCAAAATAACGAAGAAGGATGATGACGACTAAGATGAATACAATATGTTAACGTCTTTGCATATTATTGATACATATACACTATTCCGAGGAATTCATGTTACCAGAAACAATTGGAAATGCTAATCTTTCTTGCATACTAATAGTTAGTATGAAGTGAATGACAGTTATTTGTTTGATATAATCATTATAAATGCACTTGATTTAAACTATTTTCTAATTTGTTTTTATGGAGTCAATAGCTACTAGTTGAAGGATTTTTTATTAATTATTACTATTTCTCATAATATGCCCTAATTACTACTTGTTATATAATGTATCTATTGGAAACGAAATAATGAAATTCATTTCCTGTTTTTTACTACCGAAATTATGCTTAAATGATCTATTACGGACTAACTAAGGTTATAAATTTGTTGATGATAAGTAACTACAAGTGAAATTTAAGAAATCTCGTTTTATTGCTTTTGGAACCGTTCATTTGGATGTGACTACATCCATTTTAGTGTTCATAGAGGCAGAAAGAGAGCCCTTTTGAAACACTGTCTTAATATTCACACTACCCTGGTGAATTACAACGGTTGTATTATACCCAGCTTGTTTTTTTTCAATAGCGTAGGATTTCATCATCTGTTTGTTTTATTTTTATTACATTGTTTTCAGTGTTTTTCATATATTTTGCCTGTTTTTCACGCCTAACTTTCGACAGTTTGTTAAAGATAGTCATGAATAGAAAGCTGCAGGAAATTCACTACTTTACACAAAGCTAAAAACCGTGTATCTATTCTCATCTGTATATTTTTTTCATAATTATCCTGTTATCTTGATTATGAAAAGGATAGAACATACGTTGGTTGGTCAAATACTTGGAAGTGCATCGTGATGGTGAACCTCTAGGGTTGGTGGCCATCTTGCAGAATGGCCGATAAAATTCGGTCAGCACCCATGGCTAAACATCACGAAGTTGGTTGCTCTCCAAGAGGTCAATCGCTGCCCCCATTACTACAGGGGTGACGTCTCTGACTACAAAACTGAGTGACACGGGTTCGAATCTCGTATGGGACATGGGTTTCGTCAAGGTTGAAGATACGTCTTGCTAACAATCGCCAATAACCAACTAGCAAGGAGAGAACATGCTATTGTATCTGTTCTCAGCTATTTATACTTATTTCCAAATGTATTTATGGTCTTCTGCTCAAAATAAGGTTGCATTGACGAAAAAGCACTTCTGTTTCCTTGAATGCAAACTTTCATATATATCAATAAAGTTAACAATACGAAATGTCCCATTTGAAAAGATAAAACTGCTTAGTACTGAATACTGCCTGCTTTTGTTTTACATTTTATACATTATAGTGTAGTCATACGGATTTATGTACAGCTGTGGCTCATAGATTGAGATTCAAGTTTTGAGCCGCCCGATAGTATGATTAGCCGTCACACAATAGATGTGGTCTATTGTCTATAAGGTTGTTGAGTGCGTTTCGTTTGTTTTCATGAAGTCACTATCATGCGTACACACAAAGCATTTTATTTACTTCGGTCATTTTTATTCATCGATACAGTTTTGAAAAACAAAAGGAGGTTACAGTCAACATAATTATCTTTTCGATGACTCATCTTCATAGCTATACATTCATAAATATACATTGGTAAAATGATAGTATGCTGCAGACAAGTTTCCAGTCAAAGGTCAAACTTAATCGATAGTTATATAGAGAGAACGAACTGTCATTACTAGACACAAGTCCGATCCCTAACCGCGTCGCGGTGTGTACGTCTGAGGAGAAGTCGCATACTAGGAAGAAACAGCTGTCCAGTCCTCCCAGGTTTTCAATGGTTCTTCAACTCATTTCAGTCCCTGATGAATCCTACCTTAGAAGCAAATCCTCATTAATTTCAGTTTACAAAAGTAGTCTCAATAGCTTTTATAAAATGCATGGAACAGTAAAAAAACAAATAAATAGACAATCTGTCATATTTCTTCCGAATATACAGTTCAGATTTGAGGCTATGAATCACCAAAGCTTCGATTGCATTTTAGTGTCTAATCTGCACGCCTTTTTAATGGTCTACTTGAACCGCGTAGAGAACTTTGAACAGAATTTCCAGAGGAGCCAATTGTTCACAGTCAACCAGCTGCTCAACAGTGAAGCTGGAGACAGTTTTGTGCCACCAGGCTGAGTAATATTTCTCGAGGGCATTCTTCAAACCCGAGCATAGCACAGTCAATGTACTCAACTCCATAGAAGCAAATGAAGAAGACATTCATTGTGTGAACTTGTCTTTCACCCACTGTTAATATTAGAACACAATAGCAAGGTTCGCAGCATAGAATGTCCTATTCAGGGGCTTTGATAAGGGTTGATGAAGGATCTGTTCTATAATCTTCTTTTCCTTCATATTTTTCTCTATGCATCTGAATGGGTAACCATTCTCTAACAGCATTTCCTGGAGTGTTTCTCATTCTTGAATAAGTGTATCATCAGTGCATATCTTTCTTATTCTTGATGAAAGTGTACAAGATTCCTTTTCCTGCTTAAAGACACCCAACTTTGAAGGTTGGTCGTTGTAAGTGGGCTTCCCGTAGATGGATATTTAAATGAAATTATCGCGTCTACTTTACAGTTTGACATCGAGAAAATGAAACATCTAGTTGATTTCAGCTCCCACTGCAAACTTGAATGAAGTTGGCTATCATTGAAGGTGTATCATGTTCAAGTGGTCATTGCAAACAATAAATGTATCGTTTATGTATCTTTTATATGCATGAAGTTGGTCGAAATTATTTACCCTATTAGCTTGTTCACCTACTGATTAGAGTTGCATCTTAAATTTTCTGTTCTCCTTTCTACTGATAGCCAGTAGTTTCCTGGAAAACTCTACATTATCAACGTGTTTCACATTTTCATAGAATATATCACCATTTCGATAACTGATCTACTGTTAAATTCTTGATTGAAGATAATAACTCTTTGGTTTTAGAATTATATGATAAAAAACAACTATTCGAAATATTTTTCAGGGAATATGTATGCTATATATATATATATATATATATATATATATATATATATATATATATATGCTATCAATATAATGTGTATATCTTTGTGTGTCTATTGCTTTGTAAGTTGCATACTGATAGTGTAGAACTCAAACGTTTTGAATACAGCAGTAAACAAGGCCGATTACTAGATAAAATAAAGTTTTACTAGTGAACCATAGGTCGAAGGATAATTTTGAAAAGAAGACAACATCAAATGTTCCAGTAACGTTTATGAGTGTTGAAAGTGAAAAGAAATTGCATATATATATATATATATATATATATATATATATATATATGTATATATATATGAGAGTCAGTGAAATATTCTATTGATTGATTTAGAATTAATGCTCTTTTTGTCCCTTTCCTTTACATATATATATTTCGAAATAAAATTTCATGTTCGAATGTTTAGGACAGTTTATGATTTTGAAAGCCATCTGTAAATAGGTAAATAATCGATAGTGCTAGAGAATATTTCTACAATTTCTTTCATAAAAAGGCTATATAATCAATCTTGTTGTGTTGTTAATTACATGAATTTTTAGGTTTTCTTAGTCTCTGATTTGCTTGTGCATTTCTTTTTGTCAGCAGGAATGCATATATGCACTTTCAGTGTACGGTTTTCAGATGTGAATATATATATATATATATATATATATATCGTAGAGGTGAAATAGAAATTCGTACTGGGGTAGGATTCGGACCAGCGACCATCGGATTTCTTGCCCGTACTCTACCAGCTGAGCTACGAGGCTCCGACTACTGACTAGACTTTTATTTCACTTCAACCACAAGGTTTTTTTTCTCCAACCGTTGTGAGATAGTTAGGCTGATAAGCAATATTAGAGTCTCTCTCCCCTAATTCAAGTAGATTGGGATTGGAATCAGAAGTCCTGACTGGGCGATTGAAGTGAAATAAAAATCTGGTTAGCAGTTGGACTTCGTAGCTCAGTTGGTAGACCAGTGGACCGGAAACTCTGTTGTCACTAGTTCGAATCCCGCTGTGACCCAAATATCCATTTCACTTGCAGTCATCACCCCAAATATCAATACAAGCGTGCCAACCAACGGCTATCTAAGGTAATCAAACTGATAATAATAATTTACTTAATGGCAAACAGTAAGATTAAGGAAGCAGGTACCATCGTATTCAGGATTCAGTAGCTGAAAGTACCTACCCTGCAATGAGTACTGACGGTGTTCCTGTTGAGATTCTTGTTTATTCAGTATACATCGCTTCAAACGTCAAAGCGTTGTTCACTAGGCCAATTAGGCATAAAATGCATTTCCTGTATTCTACTACTAGGTATCAAGTAAATTAAAATTTAATTCATAGGTGTTTATTTGATTAAAGTATTGATTGTGTCATTTAAACACAAAGTGACCTGAAATAAATTTATCTGAGTTTACTTCCCATTCTCAACTAATTGTATATCAATAAGTTTAGTATGGCCATTGAACAAAAGAAGTCAAGACTAACATTTATTTTACTCGTTAGACTTAAAGTAGGAATTGATTATTTGCTGTTGTAACTGATAACCAGCTAAATTAGAATGTTCCCTTCAAAGTATTGATTTTCCTTTGCAAAGTTTTATTTCGACTTGAACTGTGATATAATTTCTTTATATATATATATATATATATATATATATATATATATATATATTTAAGACCTAGTTTACATCTTATTGAGTTAAATTGAACTTGTTTATTCTCCTGCATTTAATAAATGACGAAATTTCTTACTTCTATTATCCCTTTTTTCTTTTGGTTTGAAAAAACCCAACAAAAAGGCATCTAGTCTTCCTCTGAGTATTATCATTGTTGGTGTTGGTCCAGCGAATTTCGATGAAATGGAAGAACTTGATGGTGATGAAGTACGATTAAGTTCTCGTGGAAAAACTGCAATTCGTGATATTGTACAAGTATGTGTTCTTACTTTTTTCTTTCTTAGTTTAAACTGTTCGGTGCCGTTATATTTACTGAGAAGTAATTTGGCAGGCAGATGCTTCATCACTACGGTTTCAGTACCACAAACCCTTATCAACCTCATTCAGCAGTTATATGTTATATGATGCTACATGCCAAGTGATTCACAATGGAAGGTTCAGTGATACCTTTGAAGTGAAGACAGGAGTAAGACGAGGTTGTCGCCTACTATCACCGATCATCTTCCTGATTATCGTCAACTGGACAGGACTGGGTCATGCAACAAACTATGAGGAGCTAGAAGAGGGGCATACGCTGGCTGGAACGATGAAAATGCCCTGGAAGATTTGGATTTCGCCACCAATGATGATGATTTATGTCTAATATCTTGTTGCACAAACTCGAAGATCTACAGGCAAAAACCAACAAGTTGGCAGAACAGGTGAGGTAGCGAAGACAGCTGAGAAGACAGAGGTGATGAAGATACCCAACCACCACCAACAGTAACAACAACAAGCACCAACCACCATGAACGGTAGAAATCTAAAGGAAGTTGTCTCTTTCACCCACCTACCTAGGCTGGGCACCATCGTTTCAACTACAGGTGACACAGGCACAGACGACGATGTAAAAGCCAGAATTGGAAAAGCAAAAAAGGTCTTCATTAACCTGAAATCAGTGTGGAGATCTACTCCACTCCACTCTACATAAAGCGTGAACAAGATCCGGATCTTCAACACTAATGCCAGTCAGTCAAGTAAGTCAGTTGTTCTATGTGATGGTTGAGAGACTTGGTGTGTCACGAAGTGCATTTCCAACAAACTGCAAACATTCATCAACAGCTGTCGCCTACGCTCACTAAATAATGAAGATGAGATGGGTTGCCAGAATAATAAGAACAAACAAGAAGGAACTCTGACCTGGTAACGAACAAACAAAGAACCTATAACCCAACAAATATGTAGGAGAAAGTAGAGATGGATTGGATTGGATGTACACTGAGAAGACGGATTGGGGATATCACGCATCAGGCCAGGCGAGGCCAGTCCCTGGAGTGGGAGCCGCATGAGAAACGACGAGTTGGGCGTGCGAGGCGATGGTGACATGGAGGAGATGGTGTGAGGAAGATATGAAAGCTCGTGGGGAGTGGTGGAGCCATGTTGGAAAGACTGTAGAGAATCGAGTGAAATGGTGACGTGCTACTGAAGCCCTAGGAACCTAAAGGAAAAATAATAATAATAGTGCTGTTTTCTTTACAAGTTAGAACAAAGTCGCATCATATTCATCTTGATGACTATTTGTGGAATCTAAGACACGCGTTTCATCCTATTTGCGACTTATCAGCTGGATGCACTTGTCACTCAGTAAATGATCTTTTCCCCACTGCTACTGAAACCCACTACCCATCGCTTCAAATGCCAAAGTGTTATCCACTGAGGTACGAGAGCTACCGCTTTTTCAACGAATCCTGAATAGAAAGAAACACGCATCCTGGATTCTACTTCTAGTCGTCAAGATGAATATTCTTCAGTATCCAGGCATCCGTATAGGACCTCATTTATCAACAGAAGTCGAGCAATTCGGCTTTGCGTAGCAACGCAAAATTATGAGTATCATAACAATAAAGTTGCATTAGTTGATAATAATGTGCTTTGATTTTTGTTTTTGTCAAATGATTAGTACTCTATGGGTTCATTGTTCATTGAAATTTTATCTGACCTAGTGTTTGAGTACGCATATATACCTTAAAATCTATCTCATTCACATTTTATCGCCTAATTGTTGTATAACCTTCTACGGCTTTCAATAATATCATTTTCGTTCGTTTGTCTTCCATTTTCTTCCACTATATCTTGTTGTACCGATTTCGTGCATAGCAACTGGGACTGTCATAAAGTAATAACAGCTCCCGCATTGATATTGACATGTCACAGCCATTTCATTCGATAAAAGTGCACAACTTCATTGGTTAACTTGTTTCTTTTACTCAAGATTCTGCTCTGCTCTTAACCTCTACTTAAGTTGAATGCTTAAGAATTTCTCGTTTATTCACTATAGTCTCTTCGCTTGTCGAAGTTATTACTATTCATAGGTTGAGTCATTTACAAACAGTACGCTTATCATTAATTCACTCCATAGAATACTTTTACTGTTTTAAATGCTTATATTACTATTCCTTTTTAATCAGTCCTTAAGACTGGTTGATCTATCATCGATTCGTGTCTTATTAAAGGTTTTCTAAATCCATCCAAACTAGCTGGTATTCTTTCATCTTCTTGTCTGAATCCATGAGAATTTGAGTGTATATTACCTATGGAAGTAGGTATGTACATTAATTTTCTGTATCTATCAACAAGTTACTATCCTCATAATCTTCGATCGTTAACCACTCCTTTTTGCTATTGATTGAATAGTTTACTGATAGTATTTGATAATCAGTAGCATATCAAATATCATCCTTTTTAGGCCTGTTACATGTGATATGTCTATGTATTGTAGAGAGGCATTTTCTGGCTTATTAATGTGAAACCTATAGTTGGTAGTGGAGTACATACATCCCTTTCTAGTGTTAATGCCTAATTATTACTGTATCTTGATTATTCATTATTTCTATAAGCTTCTATGTGAATGTAGGTAGGCGCTACACCTCTAACTGTTCAAATTCTAACCGCTAGAAACAAAAGTTTACCTCAATGGGTTCGATAACCGATATGATGAGAAGATAACAATAAGATAATGCAATATAATAAGTTATCAATATCATTTTTTTTCTTTTTTGGCATTACAGTTTGTACCTTTTCGAAATTTTCACAATTTGAATAATGTTCAAGAGAGTAAACGACGTTTAACTAAAGCTGTCCTATCAGAAATACCTGATCAACTAGTATCATATATGAGAATGCAAGGGATAAAACCGTTGAATACACAAACTAATGATTATGACATAGAGAAACATGATACAAATGTAAAGAATACAAGCTGTAAAATGTATCATTCAGAGACAATTGGTAATAATCCACCGTATCCAACTGATTTGCCTAATGTATATCCTAATTACTAATTTCATTCATTATTCATCACTATGAATATTCATTGATAACTTGCACAAATGTATGATATGTACTGACATCTGTATAGTTCCACTTACCTTTCAAATGAACTTATTATATTCAAGTTGATATTTTGAAACATATAAATATAGTAAAATTATTGTTGAACCTCCAACTAATGACATGATATCTCTTTTTTTCTCAAGTTAATTTTCGCCGTTTAATCAATAAACACTTTGAGTAGTTATATAACTGGTAACTTAAAATTCAATGCATATAAATATTCCCTAGTCTTTTATCTCCATGTGTGTGTGTGTGTGTGTGGAAAGTTAACTGTCGTCCATTCAATTATCTTATATATTTGTTTATTTCATTTGGGATAGTTGATTTTTGGCCAATTCCTATCAATAATATGTGTCCAGTAAACTCAGTATCTGATATTTTTTTCTCTTTGTTTTACTCTCATAATATGTTTTGCTCATGATATCACTTTTTCTCATTTACCAAAACTGAAAACAACAATAACGACACTTTTGTTTTGATCTTACACTCATTTACTTCTCTTCTTTCTGTCTTACTTTCTTTTTGGTTCTCTCTCCATGCTTCCTTCCTATTACTAGTAATAATAATAATAACAGTGATATGAGTTGAGTTTTGCATATTGGATGTTTTATAGTTGTGTACTTTCGAATGGCTATTGTTTTTATCATTATTATCTTGATACTTATTAATGATAATGAGATAACCGATATCATAGTCACTGCCTTCGTTAGCGTTCTCTACTGAAGTAAAAAAAAGATGAAATAAATCGGTGGTATTTCATCATTGTTAGCTAAATTATGTACTATCTAGGAGTGAAGTAAAGCATTCAAAACGGAATATTCAGTGAATAGGACTCTTTTCAACAAATCTATTCTTAAGCTATATATATATATATATATATATATATATATATATATATATATATATATATATATATATATATATATATATATATAAAGGTTGAACCAAACACTACAAGTCTTTTATGCACATGTTTCCCTTTATATGAAGTTGAAAAGAGAAAATACAATGATTGCGGGAGGTTAATCATGTGATATTTTACTGGCTTACCTTCAGTTGCTTACAACCTGAAGCGAATGAGTATCATATACTAAAATCATTTTAGTATGCTTTATAAAGTGAAAATATTTGAAGTCAGTGTTATCTTTGATGACAAAAATTGGTGGTCACAAGTCCTAGCTAAATTATACTCAGGGTTATATCAAATGAATAGTGGATTAGTTTGACTTTCCCATCTTACCCATCTTCTTCAGATTAAAATCTTGGTGCCATTGCATCCTCGTAAGATATTCATAAGTAGATATACTTGAGTGCACAACTGCTTTCAATAACTTCTTTTTCAAGATCTGCAATCATTGATCCATGAACTTCACCAATAATTGAAACTAACGTAAGGTAGAAGTAATATTATAGGTATTACAGATGAGACACACTGTAACATGAGAAAATGAAAATAGAGTTCAGAAGTCAATTGATAATCAGTTTAGTCTCAATTGCAACTTGTAGATGAGATATTAGACGATCTATGTGACTGAAGGATAACGTGTGTGGATGTGCTTGTTTGTGAGAATTTTACAATGAGAACATGCGAAAGTTTCTAAGAGTGAGTTGTAATCGCCGTAATGCGAATTCACACCTGGAATACAATGATAGTGTAAATGTGAGGAATAGTTAATATTATTAGTAAAGCAGGTGCACCAGGCTGACGAGTCTCAAATAAGGCGAAACGCATGTTTTGAATCCTTTTGTTGGTCAATAGCTTTACTCTATCAAATTGAAAATAAGGGTTGTTCAACATCTTAATTAGACAATAAGATGCTTATACGTGAATTGACCATGGAATGGTAATCGATATAACCAACAAACCTGAGGTTTTATTACTTAAGTTGAACAAGTCTGCAACTTGACCACCATGGCAAATGAAACGACATTGTATTTTTGTGTTACACATCAAATTCCAAGGAGGAGATCAGTCACAAGCTTCTTTGCAGTCTCTGACCTTATAATATAATGGTAATGATAATGATAACTTTATTCTGAAAGATATTTCGGGGATACTGTACAGAACTGTCAGGATATCATACAGCATCAATTGAACAGATATACTGCATATGTATACATAATAAAATGTAATAAGTATAAATTATATATAAAGCATAAGAATATTTACTCCATCTATAACTTTTTGAAAGTGCAGAGCCAACTTAGACAATCATATTACCATTATATAGGTAAGTTTTGATATAATCCCAGCATGTTTATCATATTACCAGTTAGATTCATAATATATAAATATTAGCAAGCTGTGTACTCCTTAATTAGTTTGCCTTGAAAAACAAAAGCTGATTAGCTAGCTCATTTCTAATGCTTACTCACACTGAATACAAGCTAAATACGGTATTATTGAAGAGTTTTTTTATATTGAGTAGTACGTGCATAAAGTTTTATATACTTGTTACTCGTCTTTCCTGATGAACAACAAGCAGAGCTTTGAGTGGAGAGGATGCTGGTCATCTGATAAAATAACTCCTGCTAGATGTTTACATGAGTTTATATGTTTGTCCACAACAGTTCCAATTCAAAGATTTGGATATACAACACTAGTTCTGTTGATATTCTTCAAAGTTCTACGCAATATAGCATAGTCTTTTTTCAGCAAGCGAGGAAAGAATGGAGGAGAACAGGCAAGATGCATGAGTTTATAAAGCACAAGAGAAGAGGCTGAGTTATACCAGATACTCTCAGCTTTCTGATGTAGGAAGTTAGGGGGAAAATTCTTTTGGAAATTAGTAAGAAATGGGAAAACCAGGAAAGATCTGAAGAAAAACGTATGCCTAGATAAATCACACTTGTAACATTCTCTAATACACAGCCATCAATAGAGCAGGAATCATGAGAACTAAGTAGTTTGCATAGGTTTTGTTCGCGTTTGAATCTAAAGTTTATGGTCCAACATTTTGAAGAACTAAGCACAAGACTATTCACAGAGTACCATCGTCTAACAGTAGATAGGAAATCATTCAGTTGGGAACAATCTGTTGAAGAGGAGACAGGTATAGAAACTATCAACTCATCAGCATATTTGATAGGATTGACACTAGCTGAGGATGGTAAGTGATGGAGAAAGAAACAGAAAAGACTGGAGAAAGGAAGGCTTCTTGGGAAACACCAGTCACAGTAAGCAATGAGGTGGAGTGCTTCACTATGTGAACAGTAAATCGTTTCCTTTCAGAAAAACAGAAATGCAGCCAGCTGATTATCCAGGACTCAGTATTTATCCTGGTTAACTTGTCCAGCAAACGAGAATTGCAACATAATCAAATGCTGAACCATAGTCTAAAAAGGCATACATGGTATTTATATCAGGATTATAAGCAATATTGTGAAATATACAGTGGTGGCGTCCAGAGTGCTTCTTTTGCTTTTGCGTCTAAGTTGATTAGGATCTCCAAAAACCTTTAATGAGGGTTCAAACACATATATTATAAGCTTCTCTATTATTTTCAAGAATGCAGAAGTAACTGCAGTCTTAGGAATTTAGGACATGTGCCTGGACTCCCCGACTTAAGTACACGGGGACTATCTTAATGCCTTTCCAGGCAGTCGGTATGGTGTTTTCTGAAAACGATCTATTAAAGCTTTTAAGTTGGGCGATGATAAACATAAATTTTCTAAAGCGAATAAGAAATCTTGCTAATGCGTCAAAAAGCACAAAACCTATGTTAGGTAGGTCTTCATGTCAACAGACTTCATCAATTCAACATCACTGGACGCCTCTGCTTTAAGAACTGTGGAGAGACACACTTAGTCTGCAAAATGAGAAACATTCTTCAGATAAAGCTATGGCGTTTGAAGCGAAGAATGCTGAATTTGAGCGTCAGTAAGAACACTATTTCTCACCGGAGTGCATGCTAATCCAGCTAACGAGTCTCAAATAAAGCGAAACGTCTGTTTTGAATTCCACTGCTAATCACCATCCATCTTCAATATTATTAGTGACGATTAATCAAGTGTACGTACAGCAAGAGGGCAGCATGAATGCCGATCAGTAACCTCTCAATTTCATATGAAGAATGTTCCAACTGAAGAAAGATGAGTGGTTACCGAAATGATTCGTATAAATTATCATTATTATATTTCCTTTAGGTTCCTAGGGCTTCAGTAGCACGTCACCATTTCACTCGATTCTCTACAGTCTTTCCAACATGGCTCCACCACTCCCCACGAGCTTCCATTCCTTACTCACACCATCTCCTCCATGTCACCATCGCCTCGCACGCCCAACTCGTCGTTTCTCATGCGGCTCCCACTCCAGGGACTGGCCTCGCCTGGCCTGACGCGTGATATCCCCAATCCGTCTTCTCAGTGTACACCCAATCCAATCCAATCCAATCTATCTCTACTTTCTCCTACATATTTGTTGGGTTATAGGTTCTTTGTTTGTTCGTTACCAGGTCACAGTTCCTTGTTGTTTGTTCTTATTATTCTGGCAACCCATCTCATCTTCATTATTTAGTGAGCGTAGGCGACAGCTGTTGATGAATGTTTGCAGTTTGTTGGAAATGCACTTCGTGACACACCAAGTCTCTCAACCATCACATAGAACAACTGACTTACTTGACTGACCGGCATTAGTGTTGAAGATCTGGATCTTGTTCACGCTTTATGTAGAGTGGAGTGGAGTAGATCTCCACACTGATTTCAGGTTAATGAGACCATTTTTGCTTTTCCAATTCTGGCTTTTACATCGTTGTCTGTGCCTGTGTCACCTGTAGTTGAAACGATGGTGCCCAGCCTAGGTAGGTGGGTGAAAGAGACAACTTCCTTTAGATTTCTCCCGTTAGGGTGCAGCGTGTGCGCTGTTGTCTCTGTCTGTTTTCAGTGCCTCAGGCGGAATTTCATTTGGTCCTTCTGCTTTCCTGGATTTTAGCAACTTTATGGTGTTCAGGACTTCTGCTTTCGTCAGAGGGCCTGTGTTCACTGGCAATTCTGTGGCTGAGCTGCTGGCAGTATTTCTAACGAGTTGCAGGTGTGGGTCTATTCAAGAGTTTGTTGAAGTGGTCAACCCATTGTTTCCTTTGTTTCTCCTCTTTGCTAACTAGCTTCCCTTCACTATCTTTCATTGGTTTCATTTGAATTGATCTCTTCCCTCCCAGATAGTGATCTGGCTATTTGATTTAATGTTATCAGGTCTCTCCTACCAGCAGCCAGTTCTGCTTCATGTGTCAGTGTGCCATAGAAGTGTCTTTGTGTGCACTCTTCTTCACTTCTTTGTTCAGTGTAGTGCTTTATAGGTTGTACTCAGTTCCTCTATTCGCTGTTCATCCTTACACTGCACTGTTTTATCTTCTGCTTTCCCATCTCCCTCTCCTTACTCTATCGGCTCCCATGTGTCCGTCGAGATCCATTCCCTTTCCTGTTTTTTATTCCTTCCTAATACGATTATGCAGGTCTCCTCCCCCCTATTCCTTTCAAAGAGTTCCAGTGTTCTTCCATGCCCGATTCTTCAGGAGTGTTGCTCAATGTCTCCCATTTTGTCCTGATTACTCGCTGACGTGAAGATGTCCTTTGCAGTTTCGTCCTTCAGTTCAGATTATGCGTGTTGAACTTGAACTGTGGTCTATCACCAGCTTCTGAGAAGCCTTTCAACTTGATTTTGAAGGTAGGTTCCGTGCACTAGATAGTGAGCGGTGTGAACCTACAGATGCTCCTCTTCTTGATCTTGTGTCCAGTAGGCTGCCTCTCCATCTCCACTTTCTTCA